ATTTGAAAAGAAATAGTTTGACTATAGAAATGTGGTGCTGGAGACGAATGTTGCGAGTTCCCTGGACTTCGTTTCGCACGAACTATTCAATCTTACGTGAGATAGGCGTAAAGCAGCGTCTATCCTCCATAGTTCAAGCCCGTATTCTGTCGTATTTCGGCCATATATCGCGGCGTGGAGTATCCTCAATAGAGAGGCTTGTAGTGCAGGGCAAAGTCGAGGGTACAAGACCGCGTGGCAGGTCACCCATGCGCTGGACGTACCAAGTCAGGACTGCAGTGGACGCTCCTGTCAATGAGTGCTCAAGAAAAACCACCATCAGAGACGAGTGGCGACGCGTTGTGAAGCGTGCCACCACGCATCATGATGACCACGACCGTTCTGCCAAGAACGTACCGACTTAGGAGGAGGAGGAGTTTGACTATAATAATCAAAATAACTAAAATGTTATGAATGATTTTCAAATAATAATGTATTATGTTATTTACATTTCATATTAATAATGTGTTGATCATCACGTTAGATTCTAAAGTGAAAGGCAAATTAAAGATTTATTTATGTTAGTTTATAAAAGCTATGTTATGATAAAAAGAAATGAAAAGATAAGATGAACTATAAAAGGAGGATAAGTCAGTGGTGACCTAGTGGTTAAGGACCCGCCTCTTGTGCACGAGGGCGCGGGTTCGATCCTAGCTAGTACCAAAGTGATTTTTCCCAGTCATATGTAATTTCTAAGAGTATTTAGACTCCACAGAAAGACGGTTAAGGAAAACATCGTGAGGAAAGCTGAACTTATAATTTCACAATTATAAGTTTGATCACATCAATCTGTCTTAAGCAAGCGTGGTGATTTATGCTCAAAACTTCTCCATGTGAGAAAGAGACCTTTGATCGGCAGTGGGCTCTCATAGGCTGATGACGAAGAAAGGAGGTCCGTAATAATTTTGTTGTACGCAAAATTTTAAAATAAACATTAGAAATGTATAGACGCAGTCTGTACAGCTTTTGAACTTATTGAAAGTGCTTAAAAATTACCATTACAAAAATAAAATATTTTCTTCTAAAATCTCTTCAAGAAATCAACGAAATAATTCAATGGTCTTAGTCTCATCAAATTATTGAAACATTTCAAAATCGCTCAGAAACTCCGTTTAAGTTCTTAAGCTTGCACTCTGAGTTGTGAAAAACATTCAAACTGTCTTACAATCATTTAATTACTATTCATGCATTTAACTTCAAGTAATTGGTTTTTAATGTTAAAAAAACTAAATAATTTAATTCAATCATATAAAACCTTTTCCGGAAACATTCAGAGATATTATAACATATTAAGTATGGAAAAAAAATATTGTTTTGTAACAATTTCTAACCTAACAGCTCACTAGGGAATATTTTTAACATATGTCGACGTTTGTCAGAATACATGTATCCAAATAGCAACTAGCGAGCTGACAAGTGAAAAATTGCAATGTAGTGGAATGTACTGCAACAACGTTAAACTGCATTTAAAAAAAATGTTCTTCCGTTGTACACTTGTATTGAAGAATGTAAAGTCCAATAAGGACTAGGACAAGTTTTACTACTTGTGGCCATTTTCACTACAATAATAGAGAATTTTACAGATTTATTCTTTGTTTTAGATATAATTGGATAACCGATGATTATTATCGAATAAAAACAAAGATCACAGTTAAATTTGTCAATAAGTAAAAAAATATTATATTATTTTATGATAAAGAAGGAAAACGAGCAGACTCCCTGATGGCAGTTAATAACTGTCGCTTATGGATATCTGCAACACGGAGTTGGGGATGAAGTTAGAAGAGAGGGATGAAATAAGCTCATATTAAGCTGAATTGAGGAAGCTAAGGATCCAAAATTACCACCAATAACATATAACCAATAATATATAACACAATTTATTTACAACACGATTTTCACAGGTTACACCTAGTAAATTAAAAAGAAAGCTTTTGGTGTGCCAAATGTATGCAACCAACGATACATAAAATTTGGTCGCATTAGTTAACAAGTGACGTATCGAGGGATACATACGAATATATACGATCAAAGTATAAAGTAGTGCATCATAGCAAACATGTCGTGTTAAACGCTATAGTTTCCATTTGGTCGTCTTATAACAAGAACGAATAATTTGGTAGTCAGTTATTTAACATGTCATTTAATAATACGTTGTTAATTTGTCATTGTGAGACGTAAATATTTTAACAGGCACTTGTAATTTTGAAGGTTTGTTAGTAAATACCTTGTTTAGATTTAACAAACATTGATTGGTGAAACTGGGTCTTAAACTATCTAATAGTGCAAAATAATTAATTTGCTTTTTTGATTTTCTGCTCAAATGAATTTCATTTGTCTGAGGTTCAGATATACTAGATTTAACAGCATCTAACAAATAAAACAATATAACCACAGGAAATAAAGTTTAAGGATATAATAGACACTATTATACATAGTTTGCTCCCAGTTCATTAAAGCTATTAAAATAATGCTGGGTGTTCAAAGGTTCTAATAACATAAACTTGACGTGCTCTTCAAATTAGTAGTAGTAGTTCCCTATTAATATGAAAGAATTTAATTTCTTTTAAGAAACCTCAATTACGAGTTACATAAACAGTTAAATATATGATATATAAACTTATATATGTAAGGACGGACGGATCGGATCGGACGGATGTTAGAACTGTTTTAAAATATTTGGTGGATACGCGTGTGAAAGTATTGTAATAAATCGAAATTGTGTATATATTACTGTGTTGGATTTCGTTTATAGCTTTTCCTGAGTAGGTATCTCTACTCATATTACTTTAATTATGTAAAATGACCGCTTTCTAATGAGAGAGGGAAAAGAATATAAAAGGGAAAAAACTTAAATTGTATTAGAGATATACAGCTGATATACCGGCGACATATGAGGGATATAAAGAAGCGACAGCATGCGTTCCCCTCGAAGTACGGTCTTAACTAATTAATTGCGACCGGACCAGGTTCAGGCGCAAGTAAAGATATTACAAACAAAAGTCATTAGCTAATGAGTCGGGATAGTGAGAGAGCCGTGTATTTCGATATAAATTGTATGCAATCTGTGTTTTATTTCTCATTTTAAAGTTATTATTAATAATCACAAAATATTGTATACATAAATTACAAGGATAAAACTGGAGTTTGAATTTGTAAATTGATGTTTAATATTTTTTATAGACGGTACTTACTTTATTTTCTATATATTATTTTATATAAATATGTACTACCATAGATTGGACAGAATAAAGTATCACAACCAAAAAAGGTAAAATTTTAGGGTCGCTTAAAATACTAGTCCCTTACAAGAAATCTTTAAATGGAAATCATTTTCTTTTTCAGTGGGCCCAGCCTTCGGAAACATCCACTTCTTTTAAATTCCTCAATGATAAGGGTTTTTTCTAAACTTTTGTTAGTATTTACTTTCAGAGGGCCATTTTTCTATTTGTATAATACATATATTTAATCGTTTTATCTAACCCAATGGTCTGCATGGTATTAAGTATTTTCATGTGCAGCTGACATGCAAAATGATTTAAAGGTGCATGATTTCATAAAAAAGGAATTATTATTCTATGACGTATTTATGGATTAAGTATATCACATGTAAAAGATATTTCATATTCATATTAATTAATACGTACCACAAGTCTATACATACTAACAACATACATATTTAGTCTTCTTATAATAAATGTACGATCTTATAGCTCTGCAATATATAATAAGTCTAATAGCTGTTTTAATAGACATAAGAAATACCACAAAGTTTGACGAAAATTATATTAAAGAAATTTGTCTTCAACAAACAAGATTGCTCGACAAATATGTAGAAAACGAAATAGTAGAAGAAACACTTAGAGGTGTATAAAACCAAATGTAGGATTTTACAAAATTTATTGGTGGTTAAAATTAAAAACACTTGATAATATTAAAATTTTAAGAAAAAAGTTTTTCGTTAAATATTTTGTGAGTATTCTTAAAAAAAAATTATAGAAAAAAATACTTTTTAGATACTCATGGAAAGTCAGAGTATTTAGTTACGAAGAAAATAAATAGGTACAGCAAACATTCCAATTTATTCCGTCCCTGTATAAATTACTACGATACCTAATACACTGAAATCTTTCCTTTATCAACTTCCACATTTATATTGCATGGACGATTCCCGTATTTTTATTGCCGTTAATATTTTCGATCAATATGTAACTTATATTTCAGTTTTATTTTACATATATACATTTCAACTGTACGTATGTACGTAACTGAACTCTTAACAAACAGCTGGAACGATTAAGTGGTAAAAATTACTTTACAACTAATATATTTATGCTATTTTAAAATTCCTTACTATCGGTGTAAGCCTAGAGATCCTATGCACATAATAACCAAGATTTGAAACAAAAGTTTCAAATGAGATCTATGGCTTTCGCGAGTATTCATTTTGTATAAATTAAATTACACATTAATTTTCAATTTTATTAAATCCTGTATTCATCCTCTCCATAGAAGAACCTAAAAAGTTACACAAAAAGATAAGTAATATATTTGTTCAAAAAAAGAATAAAAAGCAAATGAATTGTTTTAAGCGGAACTGATTCACTTTTCTTTGAAAGCCAAAATGTTTTTATTTACAACAAGTTGAAATGATATTTTTTAATACAGAATGCATATAAATAAATATATCATAGTAATAGATAAGAAGTTTAATAAGATATTTATGTAACATATTTAAGATAACAAAAAATAACACACTATAATACGTTTGTGAATTATAAGTTCCATATTTTTAGTAAAAAATGTAAAAGTTGTGTTAAGTACAAAAAAGATAGAAACTAGACGAAACTTCTCAGCATTCCATGGATTCACCGTGCGGGTGCCGGGTCCATCGCGTTGCAGGGGGAGGAGCTTCAACAGTGCCTGGGACTTGCGACCCAAGTGTAGGTTTAAGGGGCCCCTTAACTAACGCGCGTTATACGCTCACCTCCACTGTCCAAGCTCCTCTCCCTACCTAACCAAATTTGAAAAGAACCTACTAGGGCTGCCTTCGATGTACGTTCCAAGAATGCATTAATGTGAGTTCTGGACAAGCCCAAGTCCTTTAGTAGGTTATAGAGAGATTTCGCTGTTATACCTCTCGCTCCCACCTCTACCGCGTACAAATCTACTACGAACCTATTTCGAGCGAGTTCGTTTGTGAGCTCGTAATATTTGTTGACCTTGATGGTATGGTCTTTGGGGATGTTGGTTTCCCAAGGGACCGTAAGCTCTATCATCACTACGCGCTTTAAAATTCGCGAAAACAAAAATATATCCGGTCTGGAGGCCGACGCACAAATATCCTCGGGGATTTTATATTGTTTTTCATACGTGTCCATCATTATAGTCCAATCCGACGCCGCTTTAAGGATGGAGTAAGGCTTGACGTTTGATTTTGTAGCCCTAGTGCCTTCTTTCACAAAACCTACTGATCGTTCGTTTGAGGTTATTCCCTTTTGCGCTCTGGCTACCGAAAGACTAACCGCTTCACGTATGACTTCTAGAACCCTATCGTGACGACGCGAGTATTGACCGCTGTCAAGGAGTACCTTACATCCCACCAGCAGATGCTTAGCAGTTCCAACTGCCTTTCCACAGATATAGCAAGTTTTTTCGGTACTTTTACCCCATCTTACTAAATTACTCTGATCTGGGAGAGTCATCTGGAACGCATTGAGATAGAATTTTAGCAATGCTGGCGACCAATCATAAATTAAAGTGCGCCATTTTAATGCTAATGGGATGCAAAAATCTCCTATGTCTAACCACTCGTTCTGCATTTCTAAATAATTAATTATAATGTGTCACAATTATCGAAAAAACCCTAAACACTTGATACGTTCTTAGTTTACCTAAATGCATAACATTTAAGCTGGGGCGGTACGCTTTTATGTCTTATCTCAACATTTATCACTTCAGTCAATTAACCTTTATCTTTAAAGTAAATGACTTTTGTAGCGTAAAGCTTTCCGCTTACTATAATTACAAATTAACCTTGACACAAATTTTATGTAATAAATAATGCTGTAATGCTGTACCTAAATTTAAAAAAAAGATAAAAGTGTTTAAATAAAATTCGGTTTAACCATATGTTTTCATTACTTTTTGAAATTGTATGACATTATTACATATTTGACTAATAAATTAATAGTTTTTATAATTGAATAGTTTTTCGTTGTTTTTATTAATATTAATTTGTAATAATAGTAGTAAGTATAGGTGAAGACTCTTGATTAAAAATGTCTTTTTATTACTTTAATTATGTTTAACGTTGAATCTGTGCATATAATATTATGTATTACTTGATTTACTGCTATCTAACTTCTTTAGTACACATTTAGAACTAAACTATGTTTTTCGGATATACTACGGTATTTTATTATGCATTTTCCAGATATTTTGATTATCTTACAACGATTGTTATGACTGGCAGACAAGGTGAAAGTATCTATCAGTTAGTCTTGTCTAAGTGTTTAAGTTATGAAGGTCATATTAAAACAACCAACCACAATTTAAGTTCAAATCAAATGACTACACCATGTTATAAAAAATGGTTGGGTTAGTCTATGTATTAATTGTCCCTGGTAAAAGGGTTCTACCTATCCTGTCGGGGAAGCCGGTGGGAGTGCGAGAGCGATCCCCCTCCCCGACAGAAGGGCCAGCGTGGAACACCCTTGGGTTTTTAGTGGATAGTGGAAACCCGAGTCCCACATACCCCGCTGTTTTCTAAAAACGGCGGGGATGCGTAAATGCATTTTTCCCAAGAAAAAAAAGTGCTCTACCTATCCTCCGTATTGTCTTTGTAATACCTTGTGGCAGGACATCGGCGACTAGGCGACGGTGGATACTACCCACTTCCGAAGTCTACTGATGATGAAAGCCGGACACGTCGATCTTTCCACCTCTTCCTTTCACTTGTAATATTTTTATCAAAATAAAGTATGTCTGAAATTTTAAAATTATTTTTGAGTAAATATAGAGAATATAGATAGAAGATAAGGTCTGTATTATTACTTTTACTTTAATCGAACAAAGTAAGTTGTAGAAGAGTAAATGTTTTTTTTTTAACTTTAAACTACCCGGATAAAATCAACAAACAAAATAATAAGTTTCAATTCGTTACTGGTTATTATAATATTATAAAGAAAAGTAAGAGTATAACTGAAGTTATTTAAAAAGTAACCTAATTTATTTAGAGTAAAATCTTCTTTTCAGTTTTTGCTTTATATTATATTAAACATTTTGAATAGAGTGAATATATAAACATTTGAGTAATTTTAAATTGATATAAAAATATAAAGTTACATTACGAATCAAGTATTTTGATATTAAAGAATGTAATTTCTATAATGAAAACAGACTGCACTACTTTCTTAATTCAAAGAACTAATTACGAAGGTTTTTCTTGAATACGGTTCACTAAGTTGTTATGAGATCCATATTCTTTTCAATCCTGGAAATAAGCAGCATTTTTATCTATAAAGGCCATTTATGATCTTTACTCCCATATGATATTTTGCAAATTTATTTTTATGCGTCTGCAAATACAGAAATAGTTTCTGTTGCATATTTTGTTAGATTGTATTGTTGAATGTAGAAAATAGTTATTTTTAACTCAATTTAAAACTTTATTTCAATTAAATAATCATTTCATACATTACTTGTGAGATACTATTTTGATTCAATAACGTGCATCCGGTATTTTGACTTGGTTTATGGAGGACAGAATCTCCGATTTCTGACAGTGTGAAAAAAGCCTTAAAAATAATAAAAACAAATAGACACAGCAATATATTATATATTGTGTTTTAATGGTGTGTGTCATACAATAAGAAATCGCTTAATAGAGTCTAATGACCTAATAAATATTTTCCTAGTATTTATAATTACAAAGTATATTTGGATAACCGAATATAATATATTTATATACAATAATTCTCCATACTTTCCATTTATTTTATCAAACAAATTCTTGTTGTATTTTCTCAGTTAAGAATATTTCTAATTTTATTCTACATTTGGAACCAATTCTTAAGCTACATCAAATAATATCAGATGAAAAACTCTGAACCTATTCGGATCTAGTTACAAAATATTACACTACTTATGTTCGTTAACCTAAATCTTAAGAACATGAAATAAATATGCTATTGTACTCGTAAATTGCTCTTCATAATGAGAGTTGTGACAAGCTATAACCCAAAATAAAACTTTTTAGATTTATTAACGCGACAAACGATTTAACTCGCTACTTAATTGTAAAAGATTCAATAGGCTTTACTCTGGAGAAGACATGCATTTAAAAGTAATAATTTTAGTGAACAGACTGGACAAAAGGTGGTCCCTTTTGTTCAGTCCAGTTGTTGTAAAGAGGTTAGATTATATTGTAACGAAAGACGCATTCTTAAAAAGATATTATACATATTTCTTCGAAGTGAGGGGTTCGTCAAGTTTTCTACGAGATTACCTTCAAGAGTTTGAGATCCTTAACACAGTCGAGGAGAAAGTCATTGATAACGTTAGTTATGCTAACGTCACTCTTTTAAAAAATTACAATGTGCTCTTACTCTTCTCTTATATATGAAAATTTCGTAATATTTATTATGAAAGGTATCTTATATTATTGCATAATATATTATCACAACAATATAAATGTAAAGATAATTAAAAAATGTATTTAGTAAGTAGAAAAAAATGTTTTCTTATACGTCAGTTTTATTGTACATCAGGGACGTTTCTCTACACATTTGAATTAGCATATCCTAGCTTATGTATGTTTAAAACACTTAAATCTACGTTGTTTAAATCGTTAATTATAATTTTTAATTGAATATTGACCCAATAGTAGTGACCACAAAAAGTTATAGTTAGATTAGATTTGGTACTAATTCCATATATCAGAAGTAAACAGAAATATAATCGACCAATATCAGGGAGATATTATCCACTTGTATGCAGAATATTCTTTTTTATGTATGTAAAAACTATGCATGTAAAGCAGGTGGTCACCCGATTTGTTTAATATTTCATTTAGGTAACTTGATTTGTTTTGGCTCTCTACTCATTTTGACTGTTTTCTGTTTTAAATATTTTGTAGCTATACTATTTTGATAAGTTTTCTGAAACCAGGTGAATATTTGGTCTTTATGTAAATAGTGACTTCATTAGTGTGTTATGGAAACTTATAAAGTATGGTTTCAAACTATATGTTGTTGAAGTATGTTTTTAAATAAATTAAATACTCTCATACAGTTTGCCTTTAATAGCTCAAATAATACCTCAGCATTAAAGTCAGTATATATAGGTCTATTTAAAATCCCTGACTTCAATTCTAGATAACCAAAAATAAAAATCTCCTGAAAATGTGTTTCATGACGAATCCTTTGACTTCACCTTCATCATACGTACATATATGTACTCGAACTGTCGAGATTATTCTTATCAAATTAAAACGAAAGTGATCTGAATTACTTAATAAATTGAAGAAATAACATTGGCAACACTGATTAAAAATTGTTTTAAAAAGAAAAGTGAAAGTGATGAATAACCTTATATGTATCTTTAAATAACGTCTTTAATATAATGAATCGCCCAGAACATTTGCTTCAAATTATATGAATAGATAATAATCAAGTGTTTCTTTTACTCTCTTTAATAAATTATTTTGTTTTAAATAAATATTGATGTGATTCACATAATAAAAAAAGATCCAAGTTAAATCGCCTAATATTCATTTAAGGCGACTTCATAAATTGAGACGTCTTAAACATTGTCTATGATCTGAGCTTTAAAGATTCAAATTCCTACCCTACTTGTTTTCTTAATCAAACTTGATCGTCTCAAAACAGTCTAAACTAGACTATTAAAATAAGTATGAATATTTTTATCTTTTCGACATTATTAATGACAGTTTTATTAAAACTCAAATTAATAAGAAAATAAGAAATTTTAATGCGATATTAATAGTAGGGCAGACATAAAGATAAATAAAAGATGGTTGGTAAAACTGAACGAAATGCCTATTTATATCATTGATCTCATATCACCAATAGCTGAGAACACATCTTACAAGAACGACTAAGAAATATTTATCATTTGTACCTGTCACTGTTAGTTTTACTTTCTTTGGCACCGTCACAGGGGAGAAATTCCTACATATTGATACAGCTGATTGGACCCATAATCGAGTTAACTGCTCTAGCAAGTGCCTTTGAATTTATTTTAATGACAGACAAAACAAATTCAGGTAATTGAAAAATCTATCAATCAAAGTGAAGCCAGGTTATAAATGGAAATACCATTGTTAATATTAAAACTAATAAATGTATTTCGACTTCTTCGTTTACGCCAAAAGTTGAACGAAATGTTTAGGTACTTCTGTTAAAAAGGGCTAGAGATATAAAACAAGTAGTCGCAATAACTCGTATTGTTAAAGTATGTACGCATTTTCCTAGTTTTCTTACCAATTTTTCTGGCATATTTTACGAGGACATGATAAGTGAAACCTTACTTATTATGACATCTATATAGATAGCTATTTCCTTCTTCGGTTGATTCCGTAAAACGAAATAGTACGAAAACTATAATATTTTGTTTTTTCACTTCTCAAGTTACTAAAAGATCAGTGGTGGTGGTGTTTAAGTGGTGGCCTAGTGGTCAAAGGCCCGGCTCTCGTGCACGTTGATTCGATCCTGGCAAGTACCAATGTGAATTGTCCGAGTTATATGTACTCTCTAAGAGTATTGAGACACCACTGACAGATGGTGAAAGAAAACATCGT